ACTCTTTCTCATGAAGACCAGTACACCATTGGCCTTCTTGGCCACAAAGGCATATTGCTGGCTCATGGTCAACTTGTGACCCGCCAGGACTCCTAGGCCCTTCTCTGCAAAGCTGCTGTCCAGCAAGTGAGCTCCCAGTCTGTGCTGCTGCATGGGGTTATTCTTCCCTCCGTGCAAGAACCTGCACTTGCAGAGTCTGTTGAACTTTAGGAGGAACATCTCTCCAGCCTGTGGAGGTCCCTCTGAATGGCAGCACAGCCCTCTGGTGTATCAGCCACTCCTCCCAGTTCTGTGTTACCTGCAAACTTGCTGAGGGTGCACTCTGTCCCATCATCCACGTCACCGATGAATACGTTGGACAGGACTGGACCCAACATTGACCCTGCTAGTTACTGGCCTCCAACAAGACTTTGTGCCACTGATCACAACCCTCTAAGCTCTGCCATTCAGCCAGTTTTCAATCCACCTCACAGCCTGCTCATCTAGTCTGTACTTCTTCAGCTTGCCTATGAGTATGTTATGAGAGACAGTGTCAAAAGCCTTAATGAAGGCAAGGTAGACAACATCCACTGCTCTGCCCTCACCTACCCAGCCAGTCATCCCATCACAGAAGGCTATCAGGTCGATTAAGCATGATTTCCTCTTTGGGAATCCATGCTGACTACTCCCGATCACCTTCTTATCCTTCATGTGGCAATGGTAGCCAGGATGAGCTGTTTCATCCCCTTTCCAGGGATCAAGGTGAGGCTGACTGGGTCCTCCTTGCCCTTTTGGAAGGCTGGAGTGACATTTGCTTTCTTCCATTCCCCAGGCACTGCCACCTGATTACCATGACCTTTCAAAAATGATTAAAAGTGGCCTTGCAGTGACATCCACCAGCTCCCTCACCACTCGTGGGTGTATCTATTCAGAGCCCACGGACGTGTGGTACGTCCAGTTTGCTTAAGTGATCCCTAACCTGATCCTCCTCCACCGAGAGTCTTCCTTTCTCCAGATTTTCTCCCTGGTCTCCAGGTCGGGCAGCCCTGAGGGCTGGTCCTACTAGTTTAAAAAAAAAAAAAAAAAAAAAAAAAAAAAAAAAAAAAAAAAGAAAAAAAAAAAAAAAAGGACAGAAAGGAAAAGACAGAAAGCAGCAATCACAAACGAAAAGTAATTTCTTTACTGAATTCTTTTCATATGCAAAGTCTAGAGGAAAGAATTGCTTCAGTCTTTCAATAACCTGTGCACACACCCAAAGTTTTAATCTTTCTGGATCCTGCCTCTCTGCAAATCTTCCAGTGTTTTTGCTAAATACAGCCTGATTTTGTATATCAATTAATTAAAACAAAACCAAACCACAGATCTCTTGCAGCAGACACTGAGGTTTACCTGCTAATTAGTGCTTCACCAGCTCAGGAGCTTAGAACATAACAGAGAACTTAGAGCCTTTTCCGTCTTGGTCCCTTGTTAGCTGCGCTACATGTTCTTGGCATGAGGAAATGAAGTGACTATTTACACAGTTGGAGTAACCTGTCAACTGGTGCAAGCCAGCAGCACAGCAAGAAAGCCACTGTTCGGCAACAGCTGAAGTTCTAGCCCAATATTTATCACAGGTAAAATTTCTAATGCAAGTGTTCCGTCAGCTTTCTGATAACGCTCCAAAATGGTTTATACTCTTACTCCAAAAGATGTCTGACATTATTAGACAGCTGACTCTAGTTCTTCCCTTTTCCCCATACAGCTTTCAAAAAATTAGTACAAAAATTAGTTTATCACCTTAGGACAATGCTTTTTTGCAGCTCAAAACCCACTGCTTAAAATCAAAACAAAGTGAAAAAGGATAATTTTGCTCCTAAATCATTGAAATAATGAGCATTGTACCACACATCTGCTTAAAAATTGGTTTCATATCCTCAGGGAATAGGTTCCTCAGATTTGCTATTTCACACTGAACACATGTAACCAGTTAAAAAAGAAATCGGTAGTGACACAGTAGGTCTGTTGTATCTTCTTACTCCATAACGTTGGCTTATTTAAAGCTCCACACAAAAGCGATCAAGGAAGTCTGGGCAAAACAGGCCAGCAATAGGGGAAAAGTTCTCAAAAGTTCTGACATTTTTCAGAAAGAGGAAACTTATTGTCTCATTCTACAGAAAAATAATTATTACATGCCACTAGAGCACAAGAACATCATGCTATTATGAAAACTAACCAAGATGACAGCTTAAATTGCACATGTTAATGAATTTAAACTTCAACAACAGCAAATTTTCCTGGTAAATAAAATTTTGATGAATTTACCACAGCAATGTACATTTTGGAACAAGGGAGAGCAGCCATTACATTCTTGAAGTCTCACTTGGAAACTGTGCTTGGAAAATCTGTCACACAACTCGATAAGCTGATGTTTTGTTTCAGTATTTGCTGACTCATTTTTTAAACATTAGGCTTTTTGAAAGCAAATATTTTCCTTTCAAAATTCTTCTATTTTAGGTAATTATGGTTAACAAGTTCCTAGACTCCAAGTTCCTAAATTCCAAGTTCAAACTTGTCTTCAATCAAGGCCTGGGAACTGGGGAAGGGTGAGATTGTATTAGGAGCCTGAGTTTCCTTCTTGTTAGAGAGTCTATGTAAAAGAGAATGCAAGATTATAAGCCAAGCATGTGGCATATTGAAAGCACAAGGAGTAATAAACAATGGTTTTATGCTGCTACATGCTAAACAGTAAAAGCATCCTCTCCACAAAATAACCACTTCCTATGACCCAACGGGCAGGAAAAGATTAGGCAAATCAAGCTTACTTTTACGAATACCATAGCAGAATTTTCAAAAGGCTTCCCAATCAATATCAATTCCTATCAGTCCAATTATTTCTATTTTTTCCCTAACCCAGTTGAGGCCTTCTACTGTAGTCTGAAACAAAATAAAACAAAAGAGTAAAAACAAATGAACTATGCTCAAATGAACTATCTGCTATACTCAAAGACAAGGAACTCTTGTAGCTAGGGGCTTATTCTTAAACTTATTAAACCAACAAGAAACTATTTTGTTGCATGACCAAAGTTAGAGTTGGATGAAGTTGCATGAATTTGCATGACTGTCAAGGTATATGAATAAACAAGATCTTTTAATTCTTTCATGCATAATTATAGCAACATCACTGCTTGTGACTGTGATAACTGTAACCTTTTATCCAGCTTCTAATTTTTAGATTTGACTTACTTGGACATTCTGTATTTACCTTCAGTCTAAACACAATGCAATATATAAACAAATCACATTTTGCCAGTATGCAAACTGCACTATAATTTACGTAGTAATAATTACATGCTTAAAATAAAAAAGCATTGCTTAACACAATTCATTAACAAAAGACTGTTTACCTATCACCAGAGTCATGCTCTATATCAAGATATGAAGATCCAGGCCCTGTCTAATAACACCAAGAAGGCTAGACATGAATGATGACGTTGGTTCACAGTGCATTGTCTTCAATAGTGAAGGTGGCTTTAGACATCCCTTAGCCATCTCCACT